GAAGTCAAATGCTCTCTACTGGCCATGAACTGGTTTTCTTAGTGTTAAAAATAAGGTGTTTAGTATGAGAGTTTGCTCTAAGCAAAACTTGAGTTTAACTGCAATCTTTTTAAAACTTTTTTTTAGTTGTCTTGTGCCTGCACTGTCACTGTTGGTTAAAGAGACCCAGGGAACTGACCCGGCTAAAGAATAATCTCCTTTCTGGCTAAGCCAGTTTTCAGCTGGATCATTTTCCTGATGTAATTCTTGTGTCACCTGACACACAAAGTCTAATGCTGTCTAAGCAAAAGCATGGAAACACTTCTCCAGTTTGTCATTTTGGAGATCTGCAAAACTTTTATGATACAATTAGCACATTGTGTGTTGTATGACGGGATATGTCAGATGTTTTATGATACAATTTGCACATCATGTGTTGTGTGTTGTGTGACTGGATTCTTGTGTGGAATCCTTGTGTTTGACAGATATTTGATATACTCATATTGCATTGGATATTTGACCTCATTTCACATTTCGAGAATAATGTGTCATATGTATATATGCACAGATATTGTACTGCTGTTGATGGAGAAGAATTTAGCTTGCAATCATTGTGGAAGTTGAATAAGGTACATATTACTGTTAATTATAATTCCTTTCCAATTTGCACCAATTTTCTCCTACATCAGAAAGGGGCAGCATACTAACTTTCTATCCATCAGGCAGTAACCACTGGATTCTGTTTCCTGCATCAAAATTCTGTGAAGATTCTCTGAAGCTCTAAAAAATATCCCATCCCACACTGCCAGCTACTTAGGACTTTAACTAACATTAATCTGAACTTAATCTAGATTTAGAACAGTATGGCACAATGTGTATCATTTTTTATTTACTCAATAACAGCCTCGTATTTTCTCATCCTTCAAACCAAGGCGGGAGGGGAGTACAATATATATACAGACAGGAACTGTCAACTGCTTCTTAAGTCTTGCAAAAAATTGTATTTCTAGGTAAGTAACACATCTTACTTTGCAGGACTGAACCACTGCTTTTCTGCATGGTGCCAATAGCAATAGACCTAATGGTAGTCTGAGATGCCAGGTAACAGTAAAGACCATTCCCTTGGTTTAGTTATTTTCGTTAGGTAGATCTGGGCAGCTCCCTGCTTTGGGTGTTAATGAACAGATACCTGCATAGCTCTCGACTGCATGAGGAGCCTCAGTGCCTAACTCAAGATTTTCAAATTCCACCCAGAGACACAGTGTTTCTAAGCTACAACTGCACCCTGCCCCACTGCTTTGTGTACACAGCTGAGGGACTGTGTATATGATAATTACCAAAGGAAATATATGAATTACTGAAGGAAACCATAAGCTAAACTGATCTCTCTGGCATTAATCAGAGCTAAAACAACCAGAAGGACCTCCTTTGAACTCCTAATTGGCACAGCCAAATGGGGAGTTGTTGACCATTGACCATCACAGTCTATCATTGAAGCAAATGCTCATTTTCTCAGGTTCAGTTTGAAGGGTGCCTACCAGCAATCTCTTAACACTGTCCATTTATGTAGCACACCAACTGGGAAAAACATCTGTTCTTAGACAAAATGTGGCAGCATGCTTTCTTTCCCTTTATTGAAGAATCAGTATCCATGAAAATTCATTGCCAATCAAATGGATTTTTTTTTCCTGATATAAGTGAGCATAACGCTTCACTGTCTCTGCAAGCAGAGATGTAATACTGTAAAATGTGCAGTGTATTTGAATTTCCACAGCTGCAGACCTGTCCTCAAATGAAATTATCTAAACTACATCTGTTTATACCAGCTGAGGATACTGGACATTTGGTCCACCTGTCCAATGCTGTGTATATTCGTTCATCACTTTCTTACTCACATATCCACTATTTTATTCTTGTGTCACCAAATACCATCACATTTATGTGCCAGTACTCACAGAAAGTAAGGAGAGAGTTTAAACTCCATGATCAGACTTCTTTTAGTTGCTTAACAGAGATTCTGAATAGCCCTAGAAATCATGGCAGGACTTCTCTATCTTGTGCTTTATTCTAATCAGTCTGAGATTATTGCTTTTTTCAGGGGGGGAGGGAGGAGCGGGGAGGGAGTCCTTTCACTGATTTAAGTTTGCCTGCCTGATTTGAACTGGATTGGACTGTTGTGATAAATAAAAATAGCTCCATTTCAGATTATCAGCCCCTTAATCAAACCATTACCTAATATTTAGTGCCCTGTGTTATAGATCCACAGATACTCCCTCGGAGAGTGCCATTTTCTCCTTACAGTGCACAAACGGTGGCTTGAGTCACACATAAATTAACACACAGGGCTACACAGTAATTTAATTTGAAATGGACCCTGGGAGGTCACTTACTCCCTGCCGACTAGCAGGAAACAGACGTTTCGCCAGGCTTCTGGGGGTTTTTGAATGACACTGTGTAAGTAGAAAGTGCTTTTCTTCCACTATTTGTTAATAAATACCTCAAGAATCTGCTGTAGAGATCAAAACGGGCCATCTTACTAACTCGCTAATACAACAGCTTCTTGTTGTTGTTGTTGCGTCTTGTGTTGAGGAGCCGCACGCCGCGGTCGGTGCCCAAGGCGCTGGGCAGCCCCGCGACCGCTGAGGCGACGGGTGCGCACGGCCCTGCCAGCCGCCCCGCGGTAAAGCCGACCGGGGTGGATTTTCGTCTGAACGTCTTTCTTTATGCACCACCAGCCATTTCCACAACTGCAGCGACGAGACAACGCGCCGGAAGGGCGGCACGAAGCGCTGCCGCAACAGCGGCGCC